GCACTCTTTCCTGCCTATGCAGGGGGTCGGACTCGATGATCTATTGAGGTCCCTTCTGACCCTAACATCTATGAATCTATGAATCTATGAATAAAGGAGAATGAGGTGATCAGGAAGAGCCAGCATGGATTCATCAAAAGCAAGTCATGCCTGGCCAACCTGATTGCCTTCTACGATAAGTTGGCAGGGTCTGTGGATGAGGGGAGAGCAGTGGATGTCATATTCGTTGACTTCAGCAAGGCTTTTGACACTGCTCCCATTCTTAACAACCTAAGGAAATACAGACTAGATGGAAGTATAGTAAGGTAGCTAAACAGCTGGTTGAATCATCAGCTGGAGTACTGTGTCCAGTTCTGGGCACCACACTTCAACAAGGATGTGGAAAAATTTGACAGGGTCCAGGAAAGAGCCACCCGTATGATCAGGGACTTGCAAGACAAGCCATACGAGGAGAGGCTGAGGGATTTGGGCCTCTTCAGTCTACAGAAGAGAAGGCTGAGAGGGGGCTTGGTAGTGGCTTACTGCTACATCAAGGGAGTACATCAAGAACTCAGTGAACAGCTGTTCACCAGGGCACCTCTGGGGAAGACCAGGAGCAATGGATACAAACTCCTGGAAGGTTGCTTCAGGCTCAATTCCAGGAAAAACTCCTTCACAGTCAGGGTGTCCAGAGTGTGAAATAAACTCCCTCCAATGGTGGTGCAGTCACCTACCCTGGAAATCTTCAAAAGGAAACTGGACAGTCACTGGAACCCCTAGTTTGATCTTACAGAAATTAAGAACAGGAAAAATGAATAAACCTGTCAAAACCTGCTCAACTGTGCTATAACTAAAAAAGTATTATTATATTTAGTATTATGTCCCTTGCGTATACTACCACAGTGAGAATCAGAAGACCTACAGATGGCAGAGTTGCTTCACAAAATAATTATCTACAAATACACAAAGCCTATATTAGTCTTTCTTGCTACTCTGTCTAGTTTCTGATGGCTTCTAAAATGGAGATTACAGTGGGAATGTCTACAAATGCTTTTAATATTATTGAATAAACTGGTGCAGTTCATACCAGAGTTTATTGCTCCTGGGTGCTGCCTTTTCACATGCAGCACCCAGGAGCAATAAACTCTGATATGAACTGCACCAGTTTATTCAATAATAAGTAGGGTCAGAGCAGCCCCATCTGGCAGGGGAACTGGGAGTCAGCCTGCCAACCTGGGGCTGCTCTGACCCAGCTCAGCATGCTGCAGAGGGGCTGGCTAGGGCAGGAGGGTGCTGTACAGAGCTAGCCAGTAGGCAGTCCCTGCACTGAAGTACTCGCATGCCCCAACCAGTCCCATCAGCATCTACATATGCATTGCAGTGCACTAAATAATGGTGCCACAGGACAGTACTTGTGTTTACAAGTACTAACCCATGGCAGCATTTATTAGTTTATTGTGGCCTAGTAGGGCCACACATGTGGGTGCTGAGACTTTACTGCAGACCTAAATAAGCAACTCCACAGCAAATGTCTCATGTAAACATACCCACTAGTGTCAAATTACTCAAAAAAGCGTGACCCTCTTATTCAGACACTACAATTAGCTGAACTAGCTGGTGTCTTTAACGTTGCTGTGCATTCACATGTGGCATGCCACATTTTCCTTTTCCAAAGAATCTGGATAATTTGTTTCCTGTGGTAGGAGCATCGCCCTCTCCTTTCTTCTTCAGATCAATGTTCCAACATAGAACATGAGCCTTCTTTGACCAGATTGGTGAGAGCAGACATACTAGTTCTTAGTACTGCCCCTTTGTAAAAGTAATTAAAAATATAGCTACCTAGCAATATTTGTTTTAGATGGGGGAAAGTAACCACCTTTCCCAGCCCAGAGGAGAAACTAGTCAAAGAATTTGCCTTCCTTTAGGACCTGATACACACTCAGCTGAGGATTCTAAGGGGAGACAGGGAAAAGCTGGAAGAACAGAAAATGAACAGAAGTCAAGAACACCAGGACTATCAGGTGGGTGCTCATGGTTAGTGGTGGGCCAGGTTTGTGTGGAGGAGAGAAGGCATTTCTTTCTCTGTGGATTCAGGGGAGTTGGGTGTCTGGTTTTGTGAGCATATGTTGCTGTATATGGGGGTCCAGTAAGATGTGATGAAAAAGATGCTGTCTCTGGTGAAAGTCATTAGTGTCTGCAGAACAGAAGTACCCAGACACGATAGCCATAGAAACATTCTTCCAAACATTAACAGAGCCTGCCTGTACAGTGCTGGCTGCCTAAACCTGCAGACAGACGGCTCCAGGGCCAGCAATGTGAGCAATCTCAGCTTCTGTTAAAGGAAGTGGGAATTCAGGGTGCTTAGACCTTCTGCAGGTCAGGCCCATTGAGCCTTACAGAGCGCTCCTTTGAATCACTCTGTGCTCCCTATCTCCCTCACTCTGCATCTGATCATTGCAGGAGAAGACTAAAACTGAATCGCAGAAAATTGTCTCCGAATTTGAGCGACTGCGCCAGCTCATGAAGGAACAAGAGTGCCTCCTGCTGGCCCGGTTGGATGAGCTGGACAGGATGATTAAGAAGAGTCAGAAGGAAACTGTCACCAAGCTGTCTCAGGAGATTTCCCTTCTTGACAGCCTGATCATTGAGATGGAGGGGAAGTGCCAGCAGCCCCCAAGTGATTTCTTGCAGGTGAGGCATGTTAAACTCCTTCAGTCCCTGCAGAGAGGAGGAGAAGGCCTGAATTACAGGTACAGGGGGATCAATAGGTCAGGGTTTATAAATTGACCAACTTTTATTCAGATGCTTGTATGGATCTCCCTGTCTTAAAAGGTTCCTAGTGTATGGCATGTTTGGCTGAGTTCCCTCTTCCCTTTCTCTTCTAGGGCATCAGAAGCACCTTGACTAGGTATGTGGCTCAATCTCCCTCCCCTCTGATTTCATGATGCTGGGGAAGGCCTTAGTGTTCTGACCCGTCTTCCCAGGGCACCACACTACAGCACATGGGGCAGATCACCATTTGGAAAGAAATGAAGTTCACTTGCTGAGGTTGTCCCGCTTCCAGTAAAATCTCTCCCATGTAGTGGGAAAGGTTATTAACCTTCTATTTTCTAAAAAGGAGTAATACCATCCAGACTAGCTTCCTAAGGACTATGCCTTTTTACCTTTCAACCTCTTGTTACAGTCATAGAATCATAGAAAATGAGGGTTGAAGGGACCCCTCAGGGGGTCATCTAGTCCAGACCCCTGCTCAAAGCAGGACCATCCCCAACTAGATCATCCCATCCAGGGCTTTGTCTAGCCAGGTTGTAAAAACCTCCAAGGGTGGAGCTTCCACCACCTCTCTGGGTAACCTGTTTCAGTGTTTTACTACCCTCCTGGTGAGGGAATTTTTCCTAATATCTAACCTAAACTTCCCTTACTGCAACTTGAGACTATTGCTCCTTGTTCTGTCATCTGCCACCAATCCTGGCCTTGTCAGACATCACCCAGGTATGAATCTCCTGAGGGATCTGTGGAGAACAGCAGGTGTGGACACTGGGGACATCTGTGCCCAGTCTAATGCCTAGAGAACAGATGGTCACAGTACCAAGGCTATGAGCCACCTAGGGCATGTTCTGGTTGCCAGAGAATGAAGGCAGGTAGTCACTTGGACATGGAGACTCTAGTCCTATCTTATCCTTAAAGATGTTCTGGAGCAGGGGTTCTTAACTTCCAGCCTAGAGGCCAAATATGGCCCACCGAGCAATGGCACCTGGCCTGCAGGGTTCCCTCATGGGTCAGAAACTTGACAGCAGGGAACGGTGGAATCTCCACATGGCCATTGCCCACACAGCAGGATCAGGGTCAGGCCACCCCTGATGCATCCAGATCATGCCAGACTGCTTCCCCCTGCATGTCCAGATCAGGGCCATTTTGCCACCTGCCCCCCATCCCCGGATCAGGGCCAGGCTGCTTTCCTCCCATACCTCCCCTCCAAAGATCAGATGGGGGGTCCCTCTGCTCCCCCGCACATCTGGATCAGGGCTGCCCTGACCCTCCCCACACCTGCCCTTGCCCCATGCATCCAGACCAGGGCTGGGACCAGGATGTTTCCCACCCCACCCCCGACCTGTTTTCAATTTGGGGATTGTCTTCTCCACCTCTGCCCCAGGCAGATGGATCAAGGTCAGATTGTACAACCCTCCACAGCTAGATTGGGCCCATTGACTGGATCTGACCCACAGAGGGACCTGGCACCACCTATCAGGCCCATGGGGTGAAAAGGTTGGGCGCTACAGTTCTGGAGGATTCAGGGTGGAAGGCCCTTCTGGAGGGAGCTGGCATTGCCAGGGTTTGTGCTGCACCAGCCTTCAGGCTGGGGTACATAGAGGCAGCCAGTTGCCCAGCCCCTGGATCTAGCAGCTGTCTCTAGTATGACACTAGATTGTTTCTTTCTTTCCAGGTGTATGAAAAGAAAGCTCCAGCATGTGGTGGAGATGTGCCCAGAGGGGGAAAAGAACCGTAGTGACGTCTCTGAACAAAATCAAAATCTAAAGAAGATGCTAGGTATTGCAATGGGATCTTAGAGGGAAATAAAGTTGCATCCCTGGAATGGTAGTAGACAGGGGGTTACCAAAGATAAAACCTTCATCTCTTGGGATCAAATATAGAACCTAAATCCACCCAGCCAACATGGCAGATCCCAGGAGTTTGGGTGCCTGTAGACATGCGGAGACAATGCTCTGATGCGCTGTAATTAATTGAGTCTGCTTAAGCATGCTAATTAGCATGCTCCAGCAGCCTTCACATCTCATGTATTCAGTGTCCCCACACTTCAAAATGTGTGAGCTTTGGTTAAAGGGCTCCCACCGCCATTTCGAAGCATGGGACACTGAATACATGAGACATTGCATGAGACGCTCTCAGAGCTCCTCTAATTAACGTGCTGCCACCCCACACCTTGGAGCATGTGTAAAGGCTCCCAGGATGTCTGGCTTTGACTCTGTTGTTTTGGGCAAGTTTTTACGGCTGAAAATTTACAAAACTGGCAAAATTTGGTGCTTCACATCATCATTGCCCCAACTATAGAAAGGCTGGGCATTTGATTCAGAGCTGCTCTGTATGATGTCAGGTGTGGTCAGCAGGAGCTGCAAATCCCTATCCTGGCTGAGAACCAGGACCCAGATGGGCTGGAAGTGGAGGGGAAGGGGGACCAGGCCAGAGGAGGGGCAGGGCAGGGCAGGGCAGGCCAAGAAGAGAGGGCCATTACCTGAATGAGATGGCACTTCTGGTAGTTTGTATCTACATAACACTGAAGTGGAGGGAAAACTTTGCCAGGATGCCAGAACTTCTCCAGCATGAGCCAAAGCCTGTACCAGCCAAGGAATAGGTGAATCACTAACTATTTCTCTGTGCCAGGGGCCATTTCACCAATGCCAACTTGGTCTTGCCATTCCCTGGTTTCGATTGTCATTTTGCAGTACCAATGAAAGCAGGGTAGGCTAAGCACTGAGCAGCCTCTGGAAAGAATATGTTTTACCTTCCCAACTTAAATTGCTCACTTACAGCTTTCTTCCTTCCTCTGTCTACTCCTGGGAAAAAAGCAGCCTCCCTTGGGGGAGCGGGAAGATGCAGTGGCAGTTTCTGCAGCCACTACCGCAACAGCTCCCAGCAGCAAGGCAGAGGAGCTGCCCTGGCATCTCTGCTTAAATCCAGGCACTGAGAACAGAGACGGAGCTGCCCAGGATGTTCTGAATTCTAATTTCTGTGACTTTCTCCTGGCAGGCGTTCCACCATCTGACCTGGAGAAGGACAGGGGGGAACCTCAGGGATCATACAGCAAGGGTAAGCTAAGACAAAAATACCCATGCATGCCCCGCACAAAACTATACATATTTTCACTGCCCAGCACCCAAACTGCCTTGGCTGTGGCACTGGATATGGGCTGACATTATACACGTCTTTTATATCAATTCAGAGAGTAGGGACCTTCCACAGAGCTGAGTTGTGTCTTTAATACTCTGATTCGTTCCTTTTCTCTCTTGGCAGAAAATGTGGCCATGGATCCAGACACAGCGCATTGCCGACTTGTCCTGTCAGAGGATCGGAAAAGTGTGAGATGGGGAGACATGGAGTATTCAGTGTCCCCACACTTCAAAATGTGTGAGCTTTGGTTAAAGGGCTCCCACCGCCATTTCGAAGCATGGGACACTGAATACATGAGACATTGCATGAGACGCTCTCAGAGCTCCTCTAATTAACGTGCTGCCACCCCACACCTTGGAGCATGTGTAAAGGCTCCCAGGATGTCTGGCTTTGACTCTGTTGTTTTGGGCAAGTTTTTACGGCTGAAAATTTACAAAACTGGCAAAATTTGGTGCTTCACATCATCATTGCCCCAACTATAGAAAGGCTGGGCATTTGATTCAGAGCTGCTCTGTATGATGTCAGGTGTGGTCAGCAGGAGCTGCAAATCCCTATCCTGGCTGAGAACCAGGACCCAGATGGGCTGGAAGTGGAGGGGAAGGGGGACCAGGCCAGAGGAGGGGCAGGGCAGGGCAGGGCAGGCCAAGAAGAGAGGGCCATTACCTGAATGAGATGGCACTTCTGGTAGTTTGTATCTACATAACACTGAAGTGGAGGGAAAACTTTGCCAGGATGCCAGAACTTCTCCAGCATGAGCCAAAGCCTGTACCAGCCAAGGAATAGGTGAATCACTAACTATTTCTCTGTGCCAGGGGCCATTTCACCAATGCCAACTTGGTCTTGCCATTCCCTGGTTTCGATTGTCATTTTGCAGTACCAATGAAAGCAGGGTAGGCTAAGCACTGAGCAGCCTCTGGAAAGAATATGTTTTACCTTCCCAACTTAAATTGCTCACTTACAGCTTTCTTCCTTCCTCTGTCTACTCCTGGGAAAAAAGCAGCCTCCCTTGGGGGAGCGGGAAGATGCAGTGGCAGTTTCTGCAGCCACTACCGCAACAGCTCCCAGCAGCAAGGCAGAGGAGCTGCCCTGGCATCTCTGCTTAAATCCAGGCACTGAGAACAGAGACGGAGCTGCCCAGGATGTTCTGAATTCTAATTTCTGTGACTTTCTCCTGGCAGGCGTTCCACCATCTGACCTGGAGAAGGACAGGGGGGAACCTCAGGGATCATACAGCAAGGGTAAGCTAAGACAAAAATACCCATGCATGCCCCGCACAAAACTATACATATTTTCACTGCCCAGCACCCAAACTGCCTTGGCTGTGGCACTGGATATGGGCTGACATTATACACGTCTTTTATATCAATTCAGAGAGTAGGGACCTTCCACAGAGCTGAGTTGTGTCTTTAATACTCTGATTCGTTCCTTTTCTCTCTTGGCAGAAAATGTGGCCATGGATCCAGACACAGCGCATTGCCGACTTGTCCTGTCAGAGGATCGGAAAAGTGTGAGATGGGGAGACATGGAGCAGGATCTGCCCAACAATCCTGAGAGATTTGCTCCGTGGTTCTGTGTGCTGGGCTGCGAGGGGTTCACCTCAGGGAGACACTGCTGGGAAGTGGTAGTGGAGGGGTCAGGAGCCTGGGCCATGGGGGTCGCCAGAGAGTCTGTGACGAGGAAGGGACGGCTCATCCGTAACCCTGAGGCAGGGATCTGGGCTATGGAGCTGTTCTGTGGTCAGTACAAGGCTCTCACATCCCCTCATCTTACCCTCCTGTCCCTGCCCCATGTCCCCAGGAAAGTTTGCATCACTCTGGACTATGAAGGGGGACTTGTCACATTTTCAGATGCAGATAACAATGACCCAATCTTCACTTTCCCCCCAGCCTCATTCACTGGGGAGAGAATCCATCCTTGGTTCTGGGTGGGAGAAAGATCCCTGCTTATACTTTGTCCCTGAGACATGGGAGATGGAATAGCCCAGAGAAATGATAACATCCTCTGTGAGCTGCAAAGGAGCCTCTCTATTCAGCTCCTGTTTTCCCACCTCTATAACAAAAATCTCAGAGGATTTGCAGTGTAAGAGCCACAGAGAGCAGCATGTGCTTTGGATAGATAAAGCAGTGCTATTCCAGTAGGCACCATTACTTGTTCGTCCCTCTGCCTTACTGCTCTGGAGACTCCAGTCGCATGTCTGTGCAGTGGGAAACCCCAAGCTGTAGAGCAAAAGACCACTTTAGTCCAGAGGTGAATGCTCCTTGGCCTTAAGCCAGGAAAGAAGCTCCTGTTGGGGGCTGTGCATGACAGAAACACTGGTTTTAATGAATGAGGACATTGTGCCTGGGGAAAAGCTAGAAACTCCACTCCTGTTGTGAGCATTTTATGCAAATCTATTTAAGTTGATCTCCTTTGAGTCTTCCTGTGGGCATGTCTACATGAGACATTTACTGCGCAGTTAACTAATTAACGGTGCAGTAAACATCTCAGCATCTATTAGGTCACACAAAACTAATAAACTCTGCAGCAAGGAGGGGTTTTTTATGCACAGTAGCACTCGTGTAGATGCTGCCTGCTGGCCAGTCCCACACTGAAGCATCCTCGTACCCCAGCCAGCCCCTCTGCAGCATATTGAGCCCTGTCAGAGCAGCCCAAGGTTGACCCCCCAGATCCCTGACCAGTCAGGGCTGCTGCGATCCAGCTCAATGTGCTGTGGTCCAGGTGCACATGGAAGTTGCACAACCAGGAGCCTCCCAGGAGTTTATTGCTGTGCATTAATGGCTTATGTAGATGTGCCCTGTGTGAACTCCTGCAGCAGGGCCAAACTTGCCTTCCTGGCCTTATCCAGACTAGCACAGCCATGCAGCATGTGGTACAGCAGACACATCTACTCTGTCCAATACTGATTTTTTTTTTTTTTTTTTTTTTTGCTGCTGGAATTCTAGTTCAGTGATCCTATTCCTTCAGTTTGGGCCATCTAGGTTTAAGTTAAACTGGTGCCATAGGCAATAGCATCGCAAATGGTCTTCCTAGTTCAGCTGGAGAAAGTCTCAGTGCAAGTGGTACAAGCTGATATGTCAGGAGAGCCAAATCCAGAGGTCAATGACTATGTAGACTGAGCACTCATCTGGAGGAGGTGAGATCTGGGTTCTGATCCCTGTGCCAAGGACTGTTTATGCATTTTATTCAATGGCAGCCTTATCTGAAATGCAAACTGCTGAGGCCTGCCATGACAGCCATGGTGCTGGCCATGCCCCAAAACAGAACGTTAGACAACTAGGACATTTTATTGGCAAAAACCCAGGTAGGGACTGAAGAATGGACTTTTAGATTTAGACACTGAAGTTCCCCTAAGCTCCTGGTATGAATGTGGATAATTTCATTTCAGGAAAAATAACCAGAAATATGCAAAATTGCTTTCGTATAGAATATACCTAACTAGAAAAATTTACAACCAGCATACTGAGCACCCACGTCTTAAGAGAACATTTACAAACAAGCTAAATCTGTTTTTCTTTTCTCAAGGATGCTCGCATGTAGAAAATGAAGCTCATTTACATGTAGAAAATGATGCTAATTGACATAAAAACAAGACAGCTTCCTCCTACTCTTTTTAATTCCTAATTCAGCCAAACTGAAGGCCAAATTCTGATCATATTACTTAGTGTTGTGCTTTACCACTAGGCCATATGCCCTCTCACTTCATGTAAAATATTTCACACACTCCATCCCCATTCCGGCTATACTCGGCACCCACACACATCAGGGACCGAAGCTTCGCACAGCCCTACTTTTCACCTCTAGATCTCCAAATTTTACATGATGGTGACCAAGCATCAGTAGTCAGGAAAACTGGCACTGAAGTGCCTGGCACATGTTCACTTAATGGCACAATGGGATCTGTTCTCTGATTCCAACAATTGCACTTCCTGCATGTCACACATGTATAGCAAGACATACTACTTCAGGATCGGGGATCAGATCCAAATTGCACCAATTGCATCATGATCCCAGGCTCCCCCTGAACTGGCAAGGAGAAAGCCGAGTGCCCAGATAACCAGCGAGGTCCTGGGCCTGGGGCTGACAAACAGCTGATTGTGGGTCCTAACACTGGGACTGCACTGGAGCTGGTCCAGAGCCTTGCCATGCAGTTGGCATCAGGCTGCATGTTAGGGACTCTGCCACGCATTCAATTTAAGGCATGATGGAAACCAGCCACAAAATGATTCCACATATTTTTTAGAATAATATTGTGGTTTATTCCATACGTTATTGTGCTGTTAATTGCCTGAATGTGTGGCCTGGTTACTGTTTAAAAAGTTATTAACTAGTTAATCCTGTCTTAAATGTAACATCTGCCAGGGGCCTGAGAGTCAGCAAACCGTTGGAACTTACACTCTGATCCTCAAGATTCAGACTGGAATATACCCCAGTTGTCCTGATGCCGTCTCAGGTGCCCTCACCATTGAATCATATTCTCATCTATGATGCACTGTGGGTGACAAGAGCTCAATATGCACAAAGAATAGAGAGTTTTGGCACTGAGTTAGGATAATAGGGTTTGGTCCCTTCATTGTCTTTTAACGTTCATTTTGTTCTTCAGAGCTCTGTCTGTTGATATTATTCTCAAATCCTTCTAAATAAGTGTATTCGCACTCAGGTTAGTCATGCACTTTGTATGGGATATCTGCATGTTGTATATTTAAAAAGTTACAGTCTGTTTATAATGGATTTAGGTTAGTCATAAAACAGACTTAAAGAACGGCTGGCACCCCAGGAAAACTATTCTCATCAGAAGTGAGCCTGCTTACACAGCATGTATTTTCTGTTTCTCTTTCCC